TGAGGCAAACATAGACGAATTGAAGGGATAAATAGCTATCGATAGTAACAGAAGGAACATTCAATATCCTGCTTTCAGTAATGGATAGAACTAGACAAAAGATCAAGGAAATAGAGAACTTAACACTACAAGCCAACTGGACCTAACATACACAGGAAATGCCACCCAACAACAGCATAATATACATTTTTCTCAAGTCGTTCTCCAGGACAGACCATATGTGAAGCCATAAAACAAGTCTTTAACAAATTTTTTTTAAAAGATCGAATGAAATCATACAACAAATTTTTCTAATCGCAATGGACTGAAGCTAGAAATCAAAAGCAGGAAATCTTGGAAAACTGACGAATATGTGGAACTCAAAACATACTTATCAATAACCAATGAATCAAAGAAAAACAATCACAAATAAAATTAGAAAATATCTGGAGACAAATGAAAATGAAAATCCAGGGTACCAAAACTTAGGGGAAGCAGTGAAAGCATTGCAAAGAAGAAAATTTTTATCTGTAAATACGTGCATCAAAAAAGAGATCCAACAATGCCACTTCTGGATATATATCCAAAGGAAACAAAATCATGGTTCAAAAGAGATATTTACACCCCCACGTTCACTGCATTATTTACAATAGCTGAGACATGGAAATCACCCAAGTGTTCGTAACTAATGAACAGATAATGAAAATGTCACACACACACACACACACACACACACACACACACACACACACACGCAGGAATATGATTCAGCCATAAAAAAGAAGAAAATGTGTAACAACATGGATGGACTCTGCGGGCATTATGCTAAGTGGAATAAGTCAGACACAGAAAGACAAATACCCTATGATCTCATTTATGTGTGGAATCTAAAAATATCAAATTTACAGAAACAGAGATCAGATTTATGGTAGTAAGAGTTGGGGGTGGGGTGCGTGATGGAAATTGGGAAGAAAGATGTAAAATCATTTATGTTCATAGATAATATGATCTTATATGTAGAAAGCCTGAAAGATTCCACATAAGAATTGTTAAAATAAATGAATTCAGCAGGATACAAAGCCACACACAAAAACCAGTTGCAGTTCTACATACAAAGAGTGAACAATCAGAAAAGGAAATCGAGAAAAACAAATCAAAGCCACAATGAGATACCACCTCACACCTGTCAGAATGGCTAACATTAACAACACAGGCAACAACAGATGTTGGTGAGGATGCGGAGAAAGAGGATCTCTTCTGCACTGATGGTGGGAATGCAAGCTGGTGCAGCCACTCTGGAAAATAGTATGGAGGTTCCTCAAAAGATTAAAAATACAATGACCCTATGACCCAGCAACTGCACTACTAGGTATTTACCCAAGGGATACAGGTATGCTGTTTCAAAGGGGCACATGCACCCCAACGTTTATAGCAGCACTATCGACAGTAGCCAAAGTATGGAAAGAGCCCAAATGTCCGTCGATGGATGAATGGATAAAGAAGATGTGGTATGTGTATATATGTGTGTATGTATATATAATATATATAATATAATATAATATAATATAATATAATATAATATAATATATATGCATACATACCATATGTATATATGAAGTATTACTTAACAATCAAAAAGAATGAAATTTTGCCATGTGCCACTACGTGGATCGAACTAGAGGGTATTATGCTAAGTGAAATTAGTCAGAGAAAGACAAAAATCATATGACTTCACTCATATGAGGACTTTAAGAGACAAAACAGATGAACAGAAGGGAAGGGAAACAAAAATAATATAAAAACAGGGAGGGGGACAAAACAGAAGAGACTCATAAATGTGGAGAACAAACTGAGGGTTGCTGGAGGGGCTGTGGGTGGGAGGATGGGCTAAATGGGCAAGGGGCATTAAGAAAGACACTTGTTGGGGCGCCTGGGTGGCGCAGTCGGTTAAGCGTCCGACTTCAGCCAGGTCACGATCTCGCGGTCCGTGAGTTCGAGCCCCGCGTCAGGCTCTGGGCTGATGGCTCGGAGCCTGGAGCCTGTTTCCGATTCTGTGTCTCCCTCTCTCTCTGCCCCTCCCCCGTTCATGCCCTGTCTCTCTCTGTCCCAAAAATAAATAAAAAACGTTGAAAAAAAAAAATTAAAAAAAAAAAAAAAAAAAAAAAAAGAAAGACACTTGTTGGGACGAACATTGGGTGTTACATGTAGGGGATGAATGCCTGGATTCTACTCCTGATATCCTATGCTAACTAACCTGGATGTAAATTAAAAAAAAAAAAAAAATCCATATACAATAGCACCAAAAAGAATAAAACTTGGGAATTAACTGAACCAAGGAGGTGAAAGACATGCACACTGAAAAGTACAAAACATTGATAAATTAAAAACATTAAAAAAATGGAATGACAGCCCATGTTCCTGAATTGGAAGGTTTACTCTTGTTAAGATATCAGTGCTACATGGTCAAAGGACCTACAGGTTCAATGCAATCTCTATCAAAATCCCAACAATACAGAAACAAAAACCCATCCTAAATTCACATGGAATCTCAAGGGACCCTGAGTGGCCAAAACAACCTTTAAAAAACAAAAAAAGTTGGAGGTAATCAATTCCTGATTTCAAAACTTACTATAAAGCTGCTGTAGTCAAAAGTGTGGTACTGGCATAAAGACATACAGACCGAGGGAATAGTCTAGAAGGCCCCAAAATGAACCATTGCATACACAGTCAAGTGGTTTTTGACAAGGGTGCCAAGACCACTGAATGCGAAAAGAACAGTCTTTTCAATAAATGGTGCTGGAAACATTGGCTATTTACACGCAAAAGCATGAAGTCAGATCTTTCCTTACACCATATTCACAAATTACCTCAAAATGCATCAAAAAGCAAAACATAGGAGCAAAAACTATAAAACTCCTAGGAGAAAGAATACGCCAAAAGCTTTGTGATACTGGATTTGACAATGATTTCTTGGCTAGGACACCAAAGGCACAGGGAAGAAAACACACAGACAAATTTGAAAATTTCATGGAAATTAAAAACTCTTGTGCATCAGAAGACACTGTCAATAGAGTAAAAAGGCCACACGCAAAATGAGAAAATACTGGGGGTGCCTGGGTGGCACAGTCGGTTAAACGTCCGACTTCGGCCAGGTCACGATCTCGCGGTCCGTGAGTTCGAGCCCCGCGTCAGGCTCTGGGCTGATGGCTCAGAGCCTGGAGCCTGTTTCCGATTCTGTGTCTCCCTCTCTCTCTCTGCCCCTCCCCTGTTCATGCTCTGTCTCTCTCTGTCCCAAAAATAAATAAACGTTGAAAAAAAAAATTAAAAAAAAAAAAGAGAAAATACTTGCAAATCATATATCTGAAACAGGATTGGTATTCAGAACACAGAGAACTCCTAAAACTCAAAGGAAAACAAACAATTGGACTCACAAATGGACAAAAGACTTGCACAGATATTTCTCCAAAGAAGAAACACAAATGGCTAATAAGCACATGAAAAGATGATCAATATCACTAATTATCAGAGAACCGCAAATCAAAACGAGGTACGGCTTTGCACCCATTAGGGTGGCTATTAAGCGTAAAAAACAAAAAAACAACCCACAGAACACAAGTGTTGGTGAGGATGAAGAAAACTGGAACCCTTGTGTATTGCTGGTGGGAACATAAAGTAGTGCAGCTATCGTGAAAAACGGTATGGCAGTTCCTCAAAAATTAAAAACAGAATTACCAGGGGCACCTGGGTGGCTTAGTCGGGTAAGCATCTGACTCTTGATTCAGCACAGGTCATGATCTCATGGTCGTGAGATAGAGCCTCCCTGGGGCTTTGTGCTGGGCATGGAACCTGCTTAAGATTCTCTCTCTCCCCCTCTCTGTCGCTCTGCCCTCCCCAACTTGCTTGCAGTCTCTCTCTCTCTCTCTCCCCCTCCCTTCCTCTCCCAAGGAAAAAAAAAATAGAATTGCTAACACGATCCAACACTTTTGTTCTGGGTATACACACAAAAAATGGAAAGCAAGGACTTGAACAGATATTTGTACACCCACGTTCACAGCAGCATTTTTCACCATAACCAAATGGTACAAGCCCAAATGTCCATCAATGGATGACGAAAACGTGATAGGTGCACACGACGCGACGTTACTCAGCCATAAAAAAGAAGGAAATTCTGACATGCGTTACAACACAACCAACCTTGAAGACGTTATGCTAAGTGAAATAAACCAGGTGCAAGTGGCAAATGTCGCATGACTCCACTTCCATGAGGTACGTGAAACAGTCAAATCCACAGAGACGGAAAGGAGAACAGTGGTCGCCAGGAAGTGGGGTAAGAGAAGAACAGGGGGCGCTGTTTACGGTGCAGGGTTCCAGTGTGGGATGATGGAAACGTTCTGGAGATGGACAGCACGGAGGGTTGTGCAACAGTGTGGATGTACCTAAGGCCCACTTAAAGATGGTTGAAATAAAGGGTGTTGTGTGTATTTTACCACAATGTAAAAATCCCAGATGCTAATAAGTCTGGTGGTATAGTGCTTACGCGCAAATGAAGGCAAGTCAGGGACACGGCGAGTGCCGGGAGATGGCATTTGAAGTGGTGGTCGGATAAGGCCTTGGATAGAAGGACTTCGGATAGACAGGAGCGAGAGAGAAAGCAAGAGCGGTCAGACGTGTACCGGCTGGCAGCATTCCGGCCGGAGGAGAGAACGGGAAAGGTCCTAATGCAGAAGCACCTGAGTGCCGTGAGGCTGGCAGACAGAGGGAGGGGCACGTGACGGGAGAAAAACGTAGAATGAGTGGTGAGGCTGGGGGAACGAGCCCATACCACAGGACCTTCCAGGCCCCTGGAACACGCTGGGTTTTATTCTGTAAAAGCAGAAGCCCGGGGAGGGACTGAAGCAGGTGTGACGCAGCGGGACTGAGGTTTTCAAGGGGCCTCTCTGGCTGCTGCACGGAGATTAGCCAGGACGCAGGCAGATCGAGGGGACCGTCCCCTGCCAGGACCCGAGCCGCGCCATTCTCACCCGAGTGCCTACCCCTTTGGGTGTGGATCTCCTTCATGCAAAGCTTTTCCTCTCTCTCCAACTGGGATATCACATCTGGTTTGGAGGATGAATGCCCTGTGGAAAGAGAAGACGCGAGTGAAAACACGAAGGGCGCGAGTACTGAAAACCGTGGGTTCCCATCCCGTAATGTGAGGCTCTGCCCCTCCCCGCAGCAGTGGTTACCAAACACTTTTCCGTCACGACCCGCGGTGAGCAGTACGCTTGGCATCATTAGAAATCTATTCTTACCACACAAATTACTGAAATAAATGACCAAACGAACGGTTTCTAACCACTGTCTGTCTTCCTCACATCCTTCCCCATCTGACACCCCTCAATGTAAACAGCTGAACTTAACGCGTCAAGGTGAACCCCCGCTAAGGAGCTCTGTCCTGTAAGTATTCTAGATTAGAAGATAGTTGGTGCCATTTACGAACGTCCTGACCCACCAGTGGCTCATGATCTACAAGTTTAAAAAAGATGCCTGAAATATGGAGCCAGGCGAAGACAAGCTTAACTGTTCGTTTACAGTTCATTTACACAAGACCATGTCTGCCTCGGAACAAAGACTAGAAACATCTTGTCTCCATGTTCTAAAGGGACTGGGAAACCCTGGTCTCTGAGGAGCCCTGAAGCCTTAAACTAGTGGGCGGAGGCCAGGGATGTCATCAACATCTCAATAGGCACAGGACGGCCCTCACGACAAAGAAATATCTGCCCCCGATGCCAACAGTGCCAAGGTGAAGAAACCCTGCTCGAGGGGATGAGTGACAGAAAGGTCTTGCGCTCACCCACAGAGACCAGGTTCCGGAAGTTCTCCAGCATCACTTCTCGGTACAGCTTCCTCTGGGTGGGGTCCAGCAGCCCCAGCTCCTCCTCCGTGAAGACCACAGCCACGTCCTTGAACGTCACCGCCTCCTACAACACCAAGCACACGTAACCTCGAGCTCGCACCCCATGGCCACTGGGAGCAGGGCAGCACGGAGAAGGTGGAGATACGGGGGAAGAGAAGGTGGAGATACGGGGGAAGCCGTTCCTGATTCTGAGGGAACCGAGCAACTCTTCTCATAGTTTCTCCTCTTCCCCTTCCACAGTCTTACCAAACACGCTAGGGCCATGCAGGGGAGGGGAAGGAGAGGGAAGAAGGAGAAAAATACCTTGTATACAGGTAGCATCGTGCCCTTTATACGGTTTTTATACAGATCTCAGCCAACTGTCCTGTTACTTCCCTAGGATAAGTTCCAGGAAGTGGCATTTGCACTCTTGAAAAATATGCACCTTGATTTTGTTAATATAATGGCAATTTTCCCCATTAACTCTTCCTGTAAAAGATTACAAGTATTCTGGATTCTCTACACTCTGGCCCAAACTGGGGGCACCTGGCTGCCTCCGTTGGTAGAGCTTTGGGACTTTTGATCTCAGGGCTGTGAGTTTGAGCCCCACATTTGGTGTAGAGATTATTTAAAAATAAAATCTTCAAAACAAAACAACGAGAACATAGTCTTTTCGACACAGTGTGGCAACTACGCTCAAATAATAATAAAAGATCATCTTTCCATTTGTTTTCACATATTACCTGTTCATTTCCTTTGTTCATAATCCTACCGGAGTATCTTATGCATCAGTAAAATTCCTACTGAGAATATCAAGCCTTTTTTCTAGCATGTATAAATTCTTAGCCACCACCCCCGCCCCAACTCCTGTTTCCTATTTGTGTCATAACTTTTTCTGCGTGGAAATAAAAATTCTAGCTGGAGTTCTGAGCACCTGTGTACTAAACAACGACTTGACACGTCTGACACAGAAGAGACAGGCACTAAGAAAAGGAATCAGGTGATGACAATGTTATGTTTGGAGACCCCCATCCACCAGATCTGCCAGCACACATGTAGCCTGGCCTGAGGTCCCCGAACAGAGAAGTCTCTTTTCTTCTGGGTCTTTCCATTTACCCTAATCGGACACCTGAAACTCCCGACTTAGGCAATGGGAACTTTAGGGTCAGCTGGGAACCGAGTGGATTTCAGGAGGTATCTGAAGGTTCACAAACCTGTTTCTTCATGTGAAAACGCAGAGAAGACCAGGTATATCCTCACACAGCTGTTCCACAGAGTAAATGCCTGGCAAATCCCTAGTGCTCAAGATTTTTAAAAATAAGTATGTGCTGGGGCGCCTGGGTGGCTCAGTCAGCTAAGCGTCTGACTTCGGCTCAGGTCATTATCTCACAGCTTGTGGGTTCGAGCTCCACATCAGGCTCTGTGCTGACAGCTGAGAGCCTGGAGCCTGCTTCGGATTCTGTGTCTCCCTCTCTCTCTGCCCCTCCCCATTCAAACTCTGTCTCTCTCTCTCTCAAAAAATAAACATGAAAAAAAAATTTAAAAAAAAATGTGCTTCTTCAAAACATACTAACGCATCAACGAATAAAACAAATTTAACTATATAATACACACATGATTTAACTTAGAATTAAAAAAAGGAATCTAGCTTTTAAGAAGTATTTAAATTTATTTACTTATTCATTTTTAAGTAACCTGTACACCCAATGTGGGGCTTGAACTCACAACCCCAAGATCAAGAGTCACACGCTCTACCCTGAGCCAGCGAGGCGCTCTCAGAATCTAGCTCTTGCTGTTTGAAAACTAAAATTATTTTCTGAGTTCAGTCTCTGGCAGACTCTGCTGCACCAAGCCATACTGCAGACATTCTTATCACAATGAATGAGGCACCACATGTGAGAAAACAATCGAGTCCCCAGAACTTTCAAGAGAAATAAAAAATGACTGACTTCTCAGAATTTCTGTATGGGGTGAAAGGTTATACGTAAGCAAATTGTTATTGTAAACATCTCAAAAATGGTAAAATCCATGTGGGTTTTATATGGAGAATGGGGTAAAACAGCAGGTAAATTACAGAAAATAATGTGACCCTTTACACTGTAGGTAATTATCAAGTTGCATTTTAAAAACCCAAAATGGGGGCCACCTGGGTGGCTCAGTGGGTTGAGACTCTTGATCTCAGCTCAGGTTATTATCTCACTGTTCGTGGGACTGAGCCCTGTGTCGGGCTCTGCACTGACAGCTCAGACCCTGCTTGGGGTTCTCTCTCCTTCTCTCTCCCTGCCCCTCTCCTGCTCACTCACACTCTTTCTCTTTCTCTCTCAAGATAACGAAATACACATTAAAAGAAATAAAATATTAAAAATCCAAAATGCTACTTAAACTGTGATTACAAGTCCAGACACGTAAACACAAATGGGAAAGAATACGGCACAATTAAAACTGTTCATTTGTAAACATGTTTAGAACGTGCAAGTTTTTTTTTTTTTTTAAGTTTTTTAAATATCAATTTTCACGCTGTTATTTGGCAATAAACAAAAAACAAGAGGCTGGTACACAACAATTATTCAAGTGCCTGGGGTTCTTGCCAAGTAGGGGGTTAATGCGTCCACACTTTGTGAAACGAGAGGTCATTTTAAGGAACAGAAAGGCAAAACCAACTTACCTGGAATTTGGTCATTTTTTTCTCCTTTTCCTTTTGGGGAAGGGCAGAGTTCTGGGAAGGCAAAGCTGTGGATGGGAAAGCCGTCGTGAGAGAGCCGTCAGTCCACGTGGCACTTGTGGGAACCCCAAGAGGTGCCCCTGTAGACCAGGGGCTGGATTCCAGCTTCCTCTGGGTTCCCCCAGGCGGCTGCCTGAGCTCAGGAACAGTCCCTCACCTAAGTGCTCCTGGTAGCTTCCAGAGTATTCCTGAGCCTGGGTCTCAGAGGAAATGAGAAGCAGGCAGGCAGTATAACTTAACAGGGCCAAGGCGCATGGGTTCAAGCTCTGCATTTCTACTTACTACTTTCTACTCACCACCAGTGTAAACCTTGAGCAAATTATTAATCTTTCTGTGCCTCAATCCAGTCACCTGTAAATGGGTATAATAATAATGCGGGTATTCCCTATTCCCTAAGGTGTCAGACAGGCAGATGCTTTTATGCTTCCCAAAACTTCCCTTGCAAATGTGCTTTCTAGAAAATAAATCTTTTCAGAAACCCACTGATTCAGAGATGAAGGCTCCAGGTGGCGAGTCACCGATACCCTAGGAAAGTCTAATTATTATTATTTTTTTTTAACGTTTAATTTATTTTTGAGAGGCACACACAGAGAATCCGAAGCAGGCTCCAGGCTCTGGGCTGCCAGCACGGAGCCTGACTCGGGGCTCGAACTCACCAACGGTGAGATCCCGACCGAGCCCAAGTTGCAGGCTCAACCGACTGAGCCACCCAGGAGCCCCTAGGAAAGTCTAATTCCGACTGGTTGCCCCAGATAATCTGTTCTGCTGCTAATGAAAAACTGCCATGATTTCCCCCCAATGACAGCATTTTAATAGGTGTAATTACTTGAGCATGTTATTAAGCTCAACAAAGTTTCCTCTCCCATATGCATGCAGGAAATGACTGATTGAAACCGCAGACTAAGAAATCCTGCTGCATCTTAAATGAACAACACGCAGCTATTACACGTTCTCAACACTTAAGGACTCAGTACACCGCAGGCACTCTGCGAAGTCGTGCGCAGGACTGTTTCTCTGGGATCAGCCACAAAGAACTTTCCCCGGGATCCAGCTGAAGATAACTCTCCTTCCTAACCAAGGGTCTGGGAAGAGTCCACGAATCCCGGAACGGCCCCACAGCAGAGATCGGTGAAGGGCCAGTGGAGCTGCAGCCGGGGCTCCGACCCCACGCCCCCAATGCCAGCCTCTCAGGAGCTTCTAAATAACAGGGGGCCCGATATTATGACAGCATTCCCGGCACCACCCAACATTTTACTAGGCACTAGGCACTGGTTTTAAGCGTTTCGTATATAATCTCATCTAATTCTTGGAAGAACACTACTGGGCAGGCACTAACCCTTTTCAGCCAGGGGGAAACGGAGGCAGGGAAATGCTAATCACTGGCCCAGTGTGTCACCTCGAGACACACGCACAGCTGGCTCTAGGGGTGAGGGAGGAGAGCTCTGGGCGCGGAGAGCGCGGGAGACCTTCAAACTCCGCACGCCACGCGCGCCCGCCCCCACGCGGAGGCTTCGTCGCCGCTGCCTCCGTCCCCGCCCTCCGCCGCGACTCCCATGCCCCATGAGCGAGGACCCGGCGGCTGCTGGCCTCACGCCGAGGCCGAGAAGGCTCGGAGGGACCGCAGGGGCGCGGGGTTAACTCACCTCCCTGCCAACAATCTCGGCCCGACCTCGCCTTCCTGGAGCGGAAGTGTCCCCGACTGTACCCCGCTCCTGGACTACACTTCCCAGAATGCCCAAACGGAAGCGCCTCCGATTTCACGCAACTCCTGGACTACATTTCCCAGGATGCAGCTTGCGGGACCGCGCTTCCAACAGCTGACTCTTGTTTGGGTGTAAAGCGGCTTCAGGTTGGGTTACCTCTCTGGTGCTGTGTCAGGTTTCTTTTTGTTTTATTCATTTCTTAGAGCGCCTGAGAAAATTGCGAGTTGAAAAAAATTCGGTCGTATTGAAGAAAAACGGACCAAAATTTTTAGGGGAAGGCTGGATCTCAAACTTGTATCAAATGCCGGCTCCCCGATTATCTCCAGTACCACCGTCGGGTAATATACGGAGTTTATTGCTAATCGCAGGGACGGAGAACACCACCGCGATGGACACGGCACCTTGACACGGACACGAAGTCAAGGTTGAATTTACTGAGAATCGCAAGTTCGGTTGCAGGCGGGTCTTTCAGTGCGATGGACTTGGATTAGACTCGCGTAGGCCAGGACTGGGGAGAACAGCAAGGGTTTTTAGGTGCCAACGGTTGCTTTCTTTTGCAGAGATTGAAGAATTGATGGACCTTGTGGAAGTTCCTTTGTTGAACAATCAAGCACTTTGCTAGGACAGGAATCCCCTGGAGTAGTAAACGTGTGCTAATGACGACTGAACACTTATGTTAACGTAGATGGTAGACGGTGGTAAAGGAGGTAGGTAGATAGGAAATTTCAGTCTTCGGTGACCATAGCTGTTCCACCCTGTGTCTCGTGCGGAGGGGAAGGCACAGAGGTAAAGGGAGTGTGTTTGACTCCTCTGCCTCCTTTATTCCACAAGGCACCTAAGGGCTCTTGACACCGTTTTGTGGCATGATCTATTCATTCCAATATGCTAAGAATATACAAAAAGTAGATACAAATGTTGATTATGCCTAAAAGAGAAATATCTTGAACTTCATTTAAAAAAAAAATGAGTTGTGTTTAAAAAAAAAAAGCCAAGTAAATTAAAAAATCTAATTGGCTTTATGTAACCATTCATGAATTGAGCAGCATCCCTTCTAGTAAATGGAAAGAAGCTCCTGGGAGCTTTCCAAAGTAAACAAGACCTTTCATTCCTCACCTGAGATAAAGAGCCCAAGGCCCCATCCAGTTTATACTGGCTCTCAGAGCATGCCCATAGCCCCTTCTCCTTGTCCGACAGTTACCTCTGCTTCATTATCCTATTGAAGTCTCCACCCGAAGAGAAGCACAAGAGTTCATTAACATAACATAGGATGCATGTGTAGGCATGTTTTCTAAGCGCCTGTGCACGACCTTATGCCCACCTTTGCATAAAATGACAAAGCTCCTCCTACTGAATATTCATCCTAAACCCCAAAAAGAAACCTCTCACCGCTGCCAGGGGAGTCACAGCTTTGGAAGTTATTCCCTGTGATCTCCTTATTTGCTGCAAATAAAATTTCCTTTGTGTGACAGCTCCACTTGGTGTTGTCTCTATCTGTAACTCACCAAGGAGCAAACTCACATTAGTTTGGTGGCAGAACCAAACTAAAATGGAGTCTCTTAGGTCAGGGACAAAATGGAGATGGTTAATGCAGGTGCAAAAAGGAAACTTAACCTAACCTTACAGGAATTTACAGCTCATCTCAGAAATCAGTGGAGGACACCAGTCAATCCCCAAATGTCAAGTCTGTTCACGGCTATGTCTGGACTTCCTTTCCTTGACTCAGCTACCCTGATCCAAATAAGAAAGAAGACCACTGGGCAACCAATCAACTAAAAAAGACAAATGACTTCCATATTTGTCCCATAAATACCCCTTAGCCTGTGAACAACTCAGAACTCTTGTTTCTGTAGCTTTGAGATTCCTGGTTTGCAGGTCAAAAGCCTTGCCGTAAACTCATCCTGTGCTGTTTCATTCAGTATGCAGAAATTGCCTTTTGACATACCCAATCCCTATTCAGATTTTCCAATTACCTCCCAAATCTTTCATAACTGGTTTGTTCAAGTCAGCATCCAGAGTTGTTCATTCCGTTTATCTACTCAGGCGCATTTATCCTTGAATACAGCCCTTTCAGTTTACCTTTTCAGATCTTTGACCTGTGGAGGAATTGGGTCAGTTGTCATGATGTCCCAGTTAACTGGATCCAAATAATTGGATCTCTCCAATTATTTTTTGTGTCATTAAATAATTTGTTCTTCTATGTATCTCCTTTAAAGTTTATTTTTTAAGTTTATTTATTTATTTATTTATTTATTTATTTATTTATTTATTTATAGTAATCTCTACACCCAACATGGGGCTTGAACTCATGACCCCAAGATCAAGAGTTTCATGCTCTTCCAATTGAGCCAGCTAGATGCCCCTATTTTTTAAAGTTTTAATTTTAATCCCAATTATTTAGCATTCAGTGTTATATTAGCTCAGGTGTACAGTATAGTGATTCAATTCCTAAAAGTTTAAATCTAAAGTCCTGATAGATTTGAGTTTATCTCTCTGGACAAAAAGACCATGGAGGATAGTGAAAATATCTGAACACCAACTGAAGCCAATTCAAATCCTGGGCAATGCACCTCTGAATAGGAAAATAGATAACATTAAATATGTGAAAAATGGTGATTTTAAAGAAAAGAACCATTTTAAGATCAAAAGATTCTTCCCCAAAATAAAAACATTTGGTAACATTTGTTTTGCTGTTTTATATATTAAGCAGGATCAACCTGATAATAGGAAAGATAAAAATGACTGACAAAAAAATATAACAGAGGCTTCCACTTTGAGTAATGGCAAAATAGGTAACTCCCATTAATTTCACACACACACACACACACACACACACACACACACACACACACACACACACACAGAGTCTGTTGATAAGCAGCAGTAAGCTAACAGTGTGTACAGAATTTCAGGAGAATAAGTTCTGAAATTCAGGAGAACTTGGAGCCCTTTTTCCCCTGAGGGGCACTGGCCAGTTCTGAAAATGGTAAGGCTGAGAAGCAAGGCACTCATCTCTGACACTGTGATGACTCCAGGGTTATAAAAGTTGGAGTCCACGGCCTGCCAAGAGTGGATAACTGATAAAACTCCTATATTTTGTGTTGGATACCAGGAACCACTGAACCCTGGAGGTAAGAGTGAATAGCATACAGATCTGCCCTGGTAGGGGTCTGCAGCCCAAGTCCAAATCAGCTGTAACCTTAAAACTATGTAAAAGGAATCCCGAATTGCTAATACCTTCGGGTACCTGAGGGTCAA